GATCAATAATTTTACAATTTTGCATTTGTTAGTACAAATAGATTATTTCTACCTTTTTCCCAAATAACAATGTAATTTTATTATAATTCCTATAAAATTATTGTTGTTTCAATTAATAGCTCTTTGTAGTATTTTCATGACAAATAATTTAATATACAATTATTAATTGTACTTATCTCCATTTTTTATTTAAATTAAATAATTAAGGATTATTAGTAACAATAAACATGAAATAAATTGACATTTATAATAGGTTTAAATAGAGAAAAAAATATTTTGCTTAGGTGGATACCTTAGGAGGAGAGAAAACTTTGCTATTATATATATAGATTTATGCTTGTATATGTTAAGTATGTTAAAAATATAAAGGAGTAATGTAAAAAAAAATATAATTTCTAACGCGAAATGCAATCGAAATGAGTAGAAATTAATTATTTACATTAGAAACACGATTTGTCAATAGCGTATGATTAACAACAACTATGCTAAAGATTTAAAGAAAAAGACTGAGCAATAGTAAAAACAAAGCTCATAATTTTGAATATACTGCACGATTTTTTTAAAAAAGTCATACAAAAATGTTACAAAAAAAACACTAGGTTTAATTAATAAGACTATAGGTTTCATTAGTTTAATAATAACAAAGATGCTTATAAAACCATGAAGGATGAATCATGTCAGTATCAACAAAATTGTGAAACAGAGCTTGAAACAATTATCAATGGCGAAAAGAGCGGTACTGATTGGAATCAACTACGTGGGAACAAAAGCAGAGCTACGAGGCTGTGTCAATGACGTTCGTCGGATGCATGTAAGCCTCGTCGAACAGTACGGATTCTCCAACAAGAACATCAAACTGCTGATCGATACTGATAGCTCTACGATCAAACCGACCGGTAAGAACATCAGACAGGCTTTGTTGGATCTGGTTAAACCGGCTCAACCGGGAGATATTCTCTTCGTTCATTACAGTGGGCACGGTACGAGGTTGCCTGCGGAAACTGGTGAAGACGATGATACTGGTTACGATGAGTGTATTGTTCCTTCCGACATGAATCTCATCACCGGTAAGTGAACAAATTAGATCAAAGTTGACTTTTTGATTTTTCATGTTTCATGAGAAGTTAGAACAAATTCGATACATTCATGTTGAAATCTAATTATATTTATATGTGGTGACTCTGTTTTACAGATGATGATATTAGGGATCTTGTGGATATGGCGCCAAAGGATTGTCCTATTACAATCGTCTCAGATTCTTGTCACAGTGGTGGTCTCATCGATGAAGCTAAAGAGCAGATAGGAGAAAGCACAAAGAAGAGGAAACCAAAGCAAGAATCTGGAGAATCTTCAAAGAGTATCGTCGAAGAGATACAAGAAACAGTAGAAACCAATACCAAGGACATTCATGAGCTAGGAAGCAGATCTTTGCCATTAGAGACTTTGATCGATATGTTGAAGCAAGAAACAGGCAACGACGATATCGAAATTGGGAAAATCAGGACAACTCTTTTCGATATGTTTGGCGAAGATTCAAGCCCAAAAGTGAAGAAATTTATGGATGTGATTCAGAGTAAGCTTCAAGAAAGTGGAGGTCAATTGGGAACAATGGAGAACCTAGCTCAAGAGTTTCTTGAGCAGACGCTAAACGATGTTCAAGAGGCTGTGAAACCATTGATCCAAGAAGTCTATGCAGGTGCAATCAATGGTGCACTTCCGGATAACGGTATATTGATAAGTGGTTGCCAAACTGATCAAACTTCTGCGGATGCAAGCCCGCCGGGTCACCCGGAATTGGCTTATGGAGCATTAACCAATGCTATACAGATCATAATTAAGGAAACTAAAGGTAAGATTAGTAACAAAGATCTTGTTTTGAAGGTTAGGAAGCTTCTTAAGAAACAAGGGTTTGACCAAAGACCGGGACTTTATTGCAATGATGGTTATGTGGATGATCAGTTTATATGTTGATAAAGCAACAGATATTGTTTTTGTTGTTTGTTTGATTTCGTTTCGTGTGAAATAAGTCTTGTCATTTGTGTGTGTTGTGTGTTGTTGTAACTTTGAATTGAATCACTTTATATGTTAAGTGTTGTTTGTTTTCTTCATTTGTTATTTAATATTTGTATTTGATATGTCTCATACATTTTAAAAGTTGTTGGTATATTAAAGGTTGTCCATTATATTCCCTGTTATTTTGTGTGAAAAATCTAACTTCTGGCACAAGAAACAAAACATTTGTTTTCCATAAAAAAGCGACGTCATGCGATCATAAGTTTATCTATAACGGTGGAATTATCTGCGCATTCAAGAAAGCGTTATAAACAATAACAAGCAACATTTTCGTAATCACTGAACGAATAATTATTTAATTAGATGAATACAATGCGTACAAATATTTCGATACTTCTTCTCGTAATCTATACAAATTTTGTACGTTTTAGCTTTAAAATTTTAAATGAATTATTTCGATATTTACAAAGAAAATCTACTTTGGAAATTGGAAGAAAAGACTAGACGTTATATTTAATTTTTCATAACGGCTGAAACCAATTTTGGTAGACTTTTGAATACATTTGAATTATATATATATTTTCTATTTAATCCATTACAGTGAAATTAAGACTAAAGCAGATTATTTATGGCATGGAAATTATGATTTAAAACTAGTCAATATTAATAAAATTCAACAATATACAGAGCCTTTTTATTTTTGACCAAAAAAAAGGAGCCTTTTTATTTGGTAACGTAATTAATGGCTTATTTAATTTAATACTAATAAAGCAGTATAAAAGCATGAAGAACGAAATGTAACACAGCTCACGATCAAAATCAAAGAAGAAGACCTTTGACGTATCATCAATGGCGAAGAAAGCAGTATTGATCGGAATAAATTACCCAGGAACCAAAGCAGAGTTACGAGGTTGCGTCAACGATGTTCGGAGAGTGCACAAATGTCTAGTCGATCGGTTCGGATTCTCCGAAAGAAACATCACTGAGCTGATCGATACCGACTGTTGGTGTACAGGTCGACAATGAATTTATAATAGGTCGGAGGTCGGAGAATTTCGTGAATAGAAAGTTGAGTCGAATGGATATATTTACTGATAGGTCGCTAAAGATAGCCCGGACAGATCCCGTGCTATCAGTTCGCTGATTCAGAGATTACAGCAGGTCGGACAGGCCGGAATTACTGAATATTGAATGTAAAGATTACAGTTTAGTGAGCTCGCAAGTGGTGATACTTGTCTTTTTGAGAGGAGAATGAATGCCTGCCTGTACTGTCCCGTGATACCTATTTATAGTGAACGGTGTTGGGTTTAACTCGAGTTCAGCTAACCGTGGTTATCCCTTTGGTGTGCTCAGACCGTGGTTAAAGTTCGGAGTGGGCTTCAGACAGCCCGTCGGGCTTCTCCTTTCGTCCTGCACCTCCGAACTGTTCAGGTTGGTGGGCCGCAGGTCCAGGCCCAACAGTAGCCCCCCTGGTCGACGAAACGAGACGGTTCGAGTTTCGTTGATTTTAGGTCGTTCGATCTGAGGCTTCGCGAGATCGCCACGTGTCGGAGTCTCACTGGTTCTCGCTGTGGTCTTGTTTTCTTCGAGGCGTGACCCCTCGCATTCCGCTCTGAGCCTATAAAAGGGGGACTCGGTTCCTTCTTTTCGTCTTCATTCTGCTTCAACTGCTTCTCTCTCTAAGGTACTGCTCTCTTTCTCTCTCTCTAAGGTTCTTTCTGTTTGCATATGCTTTGATTTCTCCGATCTGTTCTCCGCCGTGGTTTTTATCGCAACCGTTAGATAAGACACCGTATCAATCTAGAATCTTTTCGGATCTGTTCCACCGCTATCATGGTTTCCTCAGCTTCCGATTCCCAGAATGAGTATCTTTCTGATTCTGTTAGAACCGATCCGTCTTCCGCTGACAGTCCTGTCGTTTCGGCTGGCGGAGGGGCCTCGTCGAATGCCGACGAGAGGTCGGCAGGTGGCAACTTCCTGGCCGAAGACGACGCTGGATCTAGCTCTGTCGGTAATCCAGAGGTCGGAACTTCGCAGCCCGGAATCGCTAAACCTCGTCGGGCTAAACGTCGAGTTGTGGTAAAGGATCAGCCCGCAGCTCGACGAATATACTCGAATCCTGACTCCTTCGGTCTCACGCCTGTCGACAGGCTTGCGTTGGAGCCTTTGGGCCCGGGCTTGGGTCCTGGCATCGAGTTGAAGAGGAAAGACGACTTTGATACGGAAGCCGATCTATCAATGCTTACGAACATCTGGTCAATCCGCGATCTTCCAAGGGAGGTTGATTTCCGCGTCCCTCAGAGCGGCGAGCGTCCTTGGTTGCCCCCAGAAGGGTATATGTGTCTCTACGTATCCTTCTTCGAGGAGAGCGGGCTATTCTTTCCTATTCCGCGGCTGTTAATTGAGTACTGTGCTCGCCGTGGTCTGGCCGTCTCTCAGTTAACCCATGGGTCTATCAGGAACTTCATGGCATACTTGGTTTTGGCCGCAGAACAAGGGATGGTCTGTGATTGCGACACCTTTGAGGGACTAACTGCGCTGAAGCGGAGAGGTTCTTCTGGCCGCTACTATGTTTCAGCCAAGACCAAGTATAATCGGTTGATCACGGGCTTTGATGCCGATAAGAGCGCGGACAGGGAGTGCTTCTACTTCTTTGTGAAAATAAACGCGGCTTCTGTAGAGAATCCCAAGTGGCCTATTCGTGCGGGCTGGAATGTTAATATAAGTACGTTTTTGCCGAAATGTTTTTCCTTTTTCTTTGTTCGGGCTGACGCCTAATTTTTTCTTTTTGCTTGCAGACAGACCGCCGCCAAGAATACTTTATCCCGAGAAGTCCGGTGAAAGATCTTTCGTTGGATTTATCGAGGAGTTGGCCCCCCAGATCTGGCCTGAGTTCGTCGAACAAAGGATCCAACGGTGCATTGGAAGGATCCTAACTGGTCAGTGTCCGCTCCGTTCTCTCGAGTCTCGGTCTTGCCGACTCTTCGTTTTCCCCCCTTTCTTTCTTGACGGCGCCTTCGTTTTCTCCGCAGGTTGTTTCGATCTCGAGCTCGAGCCCCTTCGTCCCTTTACACACCATCCGATTGTTCCAAAGGCGAAGACTTTCAAGCGAACAGCGGAGCAGATGGGCAAGAAAACGAAGGGAACGTGGAGGAGAGTGGATTATAATGAGGCCGCTCTGGATGAAGCGGTCAGGGTTTCTAAAGAGAAGCAGGTCGCCTCAGCTGGGCAGACCGCAAAGTTAAAACAAGTCGGTCCTGCTACCAAGGTCGCTCCGACCGAGAAGCCCGTCGTGACAAAAAAGACTGGGCAACCTTCGGCCACGGTTGGCGCGAAGAGGAAGAACGTAGTCTCTACGCGTAGGGGAACCGGTCCTCCTGGAAAGGGGATCCTTGCCGGGGTGCAGTCCGTAGCCCCGCCTTCCAGGCGAGTTGAGGCCGCGTCTGGCAAGTTGGTCGTCGCTGCTGCCGAAGAGCCTGCCAAAAAGGCTCCTCAGGACAAGAGGCCGCTGGAGGATGCTCCGGAGAGGCAAGGTAAAAAGGCTCGGACTGATAACCGAGAAGATTCTCGAACTATCCCCGAGGCTGCCTCGGGTTCTGCCTCTCCTACAGACTCCAGGGAGTACACGCTCGAGATGGACTTCAGGGCGCCCGGGTAACTGATAGATAATACCAAGGCGTGCGCTGACCTGTACTCCCAATTCCCCTGCGATAAGGTCTTCGAGTTTCCCAAGCCGGAGGAGTTGGAGGAGTTCGCAGCATACCGCGAAGTTTGCGGGGCTTCGGTGGCGGTAAGCGTCGTCCGTTTGCTTATCATTCTTGCCTTTCCTTGGGGCTTTTCTTCTCTCTTTTTTGTCAACCCTTAGCGTCCTGGTTACTTTCTTTGCAGATGATGACCTACATGAATTCTATGGTCTTTCAGTACGAGCGTAAGCTCTTCAAGGTGTCGAGGCAGCTTGCGGCGCACGAGTTGCAGCTCAAGGAGCAGGAGTCGATGAAAGGGGAGTTCGACTTGATGAAGAAGGAGCTTGAGTCCGTAAAGGCGGAAGCGGGGAGGGTTCCCGCCCTGAAGTCTAGGGTCAACAACTTCAGCAAGATGGTGGCGGACTCGAATAAGGTCATTGAGGACCTTAGGTCGCAGAAAGAGGATGCCGAGGAGCGGCTGGAATTGGCAACTTCCAAAGGAGACTCTCTTCAGGCCGAAGTCGATCGTCTTCGTAAGTCTCGATCGTCAGTCGTTAAGAGCACCGTGGAAGAGTGCAACAGAAGGCTGTCAGGAATTAAGAGGTCGATCGCTGACTCCGCGGAGGTCGCTCGGCTCTCCGAGCTGATGAGTCAGTCGCAGGCCATTAAGGGCTATCTGGTCAAGATGGGGGAGGAGGAAGGCATCACCATCTCCGAAGAGCGGCTGAAGGTCCTTGATGACAACTTTGAGAAGTTCAAGGACCAGCTCGAGGCCTTGGAAGTAGAGGAGGCCGAGGAAGAGGACTTTGTGATGCCTCTTCCTTCATGGCTATCCGCTGCGGGAACTGGTGACGAGACCAGGACGGCGCCTGCTGCTCAGAACCCAGACTCCGGGAGTTCTGCTGCTCCAGCAGTCGACCAAACTACTGGCGAAGAGCTGGCTGATCTCGACGGCATTCCGGTCATTCAGGACCCTTCAGCGCGGACTGATAAATAGTCATTTGTACTTTTTGCTTCTTCTTTTTTGTAAAGGTTTAAACTTCTCTTTTAATGATATATATAAATTTAAACGGCGATTTCTTGTTTTGTTGCTGACCTTCATTTTGCTGCTGCTGTTGCTTCGCGGGGGGGGGGGGGGGCTGAGGCGTCTGGATTACGTTCGCTGCCAGGAGTTTCCTCTTCAATTCCTTAAATTCTTGGTCGAGATGTTGAGATGGTTCGCTGTGGTCGCTCTCTACCATATCTTTGGCTTTGGGCTTTGTGGGCGTTAGTTTG